ACTCACAAATTTTCGGTTTATTATTTTAATTAGAGCCTTCAGGCCATATTTAACGAGAGTCTAGCTGTCTGCATTCGTATTGTGTACCTCTCTAAAAGGACCATGGAACATGATAATATTATCGTTCCTGTGCGTGTAATCTACTCTTGTAACAGTGCGTTCCAATTTATTTCTTATTCCTTTATTGCTATACCTTTGTGTCTACTTATAAACAGTATCGAATAAAAATTTATTCCATCCTTTACACTGTTCATTTTTCTTTTGTTATCTTTTTTACATACGTATAAATATTTGAAATCGATTAAAACATTTTTATGTGTACAGTGAGTACTAAAAGTATTCATACGCTCTTTAGAACAAAATAATTTTTTTAAAATAGCGTTATTCATGTGAAGTAATTTTTTTTTAAATTGTAAGTGATTGAAGATTTTGTAAATTTTTCGACGGAACATATAATGACACTGTTATACATGTATATTTTATACATATAGAAAAAGAAGAAGCTTTGTATATTTAAATTATATTCGTGTCGATGATTTTAGGAAAATTTATTAATATCATTTACAAATACCCATATACATATTTTTACGAATGTATGTAAAATTTTGTACGGCACTTATTGTTAGTAACTGATAAACACTCTTACAAATTCTTCTGTGTCCTAATAACAGTTTCCATCAATGTAATATTTGTATACTTATTGAATTAAAATAGTGCTTTTATGCTTATTTAGATTTTTGAAAAATCGGTTCAAGTTTAAGAGTTTGGACATTTGAAAATTTAGGGATTTGAAAATTTGAGTACTTGTGACTTTGGAAAATTGAGAATTTAGAAATTTGTTAAATTGAGTATTTGAGAATTTGTGTACTAAGAAATTCGAGAATTTGAAGAATTATAAAGATTTGAGAATTTGAAGAATCAGGGTTTGAGAATTTGTGAAGTTGTAAGTTTCAGAGCTTAAGAGTTTTAAGGTTTGAGATTTTGAGAAATTCAGAAATTGATCATTTTTGAATTTTGTAATCTGAGAATTTTGGATATTGAGAAATTTGAAATTTAAAAATTTAGAAATTGAGATTTTGGGAACTTAGAAATTTAACAATTGGAAATTTGGAAATATAGAAGTTTCAAAATTTGAAGATTTAAAAATTTGGATGTTTGAAAATTTAATGATTTGCGAATCGAAGAACGTGACATTTTATATATTGTGCTGATAAATTTTATGAAGATTCCTCAAACGAGGTTTAAAGAAACTCAGATTTAAATTTATACTTACCATTTATTTATTATTATATTTAATTTATTATATTTATTATTATTATATTTAGTGTTTCCTCTCCTTAATTATATTATTTCTTATGGACCATATTATAATACAAAACATATATGTACAGCCTAAGAACATAATTCATGAAAAGTGCAAAGAATGCTCTCTACCTATCGCCACCCCTAATATCTGCAGCATCGTCGCACACCTAAAAATCAGAATTCGTATATTTATTACCATTTCAGCAAAAAGCCTGAAAGAAACGTTGCAGTAGTTTTTTACCGTTTTTCTGCAAATGAGCAATAAAATTTTCTTACCGGCTGAAAAAGGTCCAGTTTTTTCCGTTACTAACTCAGCAGTGCTGGGACTAATTTTTTGCCGTTAAAAAGTCCCGTTAAAAAAGGCGTAAAAGAATAATTTACTGCCTTAACGTTTTTTCTTATTTTGTCACTCGACGAAAGAAGGAAAAATACAAATAATTCTGCTAGGTAGAATTGTTCGACTGACATGCAAAAAAATTAACGTAACAACGTGAACGTTTTAAGGGTTGAAGGCCCGAATGCAATGTTTGTCCAAAAACAGTAAACCTTGCTATAAACCGATAAGAATCCGTTACCTTAGAAGATGACTTTTTGACTGCACCGTTTTTTCCTGTTACTTTTCTAGAAGTACCGTTTTTTGCTCGCCAAGGATGCACGTTCTGAACAGTTTTTAAAGCCACTTAAAAGGGTTGCAGGGTAACTGCATCTTTTTAAGATTTTATAAGCTTGCCAAGTGTAGAAACGTGTTCTACAAGATTAAGTGCTAAAGATTGTTTATTTTATTAATTCGTTAATTTATTAAGTAATTTATTTCAATTTTTGTTTTACAATTACTAAATTTGTAAATTAGCAAACTTCCAAAGTTTCGAATTCTCAATTTTCTACATTCTTAAATTACAAGAATTTCGACTTTTCACATTTTCAAATTTTCATGGGTGTCAAATCACCGAATTCTAAATTATCTAATTCTCACATTTCTAAAATTCTAAATTAATGAATTCTTATGTTCTGAGAATTATAAATTACCGAATTCACAAATTTCCAAATTTCCAAATTACCTAACTCTCAAATTTCTAAAATTCTAAACTGCTGAATTTACAAATTTCTAAAATTCTGAATTGTTAAATTCTCACATTCTGAAAATTATAAATTACCAAATTTAAAAATTTCAAATTTCTAAATTACCTATTTCTCAAATTTTCAAATTTGTTATTATTTTAATTTCTAAACATTGAACTACAGTATTCAATGCTAATGTATGAACAAGTTATAATAATATCTAATGTAAAACATAATACAAGATATCTGAAATAAAACAATTTCGTCAATTCTTTTCTACTTGGAAAATAATACAATTATGTTAATTGTATTATTTATTATGTTAATTATTAATATTTATTGAAAATAAACTTGTGTAAAAAGTATTATCCTATTTTAACAAATTTTACACATTTTCTAAACAATAAAATTCAAGATGCATGAAATCACAATTCTAAACATCTAGATTCAAGTTTGAATCTATTTGTCGCAATAACTTAAATAACTAATTATAAATAAATACAAGATTCGTACTACGCAATTAAAACTTGCATATTACATTCAATTTTGAAATATATTTATAGACTTTCTAAGAATTTGTTAATAAAAACTTTTAAAATTACTATGCATAATTAGTATTGTATAAGAACTCTGTAAAATTAAATTCTAGTAAATCTAGTTTCTTTCGTTTTCATATTCTGCAAAGAAAGAAAAGGGACGCCCGAAAATTTTCGAAAATTCTTTTCCCAATTAAAATTCAGTTTTTTATTTAAATTGCAGCAAGTTTGTTACATTACTTGTGAATTAACTATAATACTTATAATAATTTAAATTATTATAATTATTATAATAAATTTAATAATTATAAATAATTATTATTATAATAAATTTAAAATTTTGTAAAGATAAAAGAAAGCTGGATTTTATTAAATTTTAGTCAAAATACTCTTATTCACTGATCTACCTTCAAAATAAAATCCTGAGTGCCCACTGCTACATATTTGTTAAAGATGACATTTATTATTAATACGTTTAACACTAAACCTATCGACTTACATTAAAATAAAAAATAAATAAACAATAAAACGTAAGTCAATATACACATTAATTCATCTTGACGACAGTCAGATTATAAAAAAAAACACCTTAATAAATTTTGTAAATTAAGATAAGGAGCTAACTGGTAAATAACTAACTAGCAGAAGGTTGAAGAACTTATTTGTATGAGAAAACAAAGGACACGTCTCGAATAAAGCGCAGATGGGGCCAATATTGATAAACTAGCACGTGGAATATTTTGAAATCGGATATTTTTACTTCAGTGTTCATAGAGTTCAGAAGAACCGCTTTTAATGATCCGGACGTGGTTGGTTCCACCTGGTAATGTCGTATTCAATTCCAACCTCTGCAATCTCAAGGTAAATCTTCTCCTAATTCTTCAACCCCTTTCGCCCCTGAAATCCGGGTCATATTACTTACTTTCTTGCCTCTTACATGCGATTCGCTTTAGGGTTTGCGTCGATTCCCTCGCTTTTCTTCAAATTGTCCAGGAAATACATCCTAATAAAATGTTCTCTAATTTTCCTTTAGAATTTTTTACAAAAAGAACAGCCAATTATTTTTTCTCGGACTGTTTTACAACATACCTTATTTTTTCTCACATTGTATGCACACAATAGAAAAATCTAACCTGGTGAAAAGTAAAGTTTTTTAAATTGAAATTTTTAAAAGCTCAGTTAAAATTTCAGATAAAATTCATTTTAATATATTTCCAGATTTCTAAGTTTGAAAAATAAAGTTTATTTATTTTGATTCTTATTCTTCTTCCGGATGGGTGACACAAATATAAGCGGTTAAATGCAACACTTATCATAATACACCAACGCGCACTACTTATCAGAAACGGTAAGATCTGTTTCCTACTCATATCAAAAATACCAAAGTAAACAAGCTAACTTTTTATTCCATTATATATTAAAGAAGTTTTATGCGGTTACTTACATAATTCGTTAAAATATCGTGAAAGAATAAATAATAATATTTACTACCCATTTCTATAGATTAAACAAATAATAAGTACCTATACATACTCACGTTGTTTTCATATAACCGATCTTACGTAAAATGTTTCGAAAAATTGAATTAAAAGAAAACGTCCATAATACTTCATTTCCATAAACAAAAATTGAAACCTTAAAATTCATCATAAGTTCCTTCCTTTACAAATTAGTAAAGAAATTATTCCTGTAAAGTAATGGCTGCTTCGCCATAATTTGTTTTCAAACCAACATCAAGGAAATAAACGGATGATTTCACACCAAATTATATTTTGCGATCGATATGAGTGATTTTATTGTAAATACCATAAGATATGAATAACGTATGTGAAATTGAGAAAGAGGTTTAGGTAATCCATGTAACAATTCCAAATTTTTTGAAATAATATTAGCTTTTGAATTTTGCAATTTTAACGTATTTAGTAAAATCAATATTTATCAAACAGTTACTGTCTGTCACTGCTTTGCGCCCTCTAGTAGGAAATTGATGAAGTATTGCTCTGTAGATAATCGAGCAAGATAAACCAGATACTTCAGATACTTCAACAATGCATTATAAATGAAAATATACCTACACGTCAGTAACATTCACGTGTTTTTATAACAGTACTTTAAAAAACGTACAAATGATGTACTTAAACGATAACTATTATATAAATAATCCAAAAACAGAAGTTAAAATATATAAAAAAAACTCATTTCATTTATATAATGAGCTGTGTTGCGAAGATTGCGCAACTGTACCGGGCCTTCTTAAAGTTAATTTCTAACGGTCTATAAGACAAGTTTTCCGAGTTTGTACTAGTTATTCTGATTGTCTATAGTCATTTGTACAAATGAACCAACTAATCAATCGCATAGTTTGCAGTGGACAGCAAGCATCGATTGGTAAGAGGTTGTGCGCTGATTTTGTAAGAGGATTTCGTGTGTCATCTCAAAACATGGTTATCGCAGTAAGATGTTTTCTTTCAAATTTAATGAATAATTAAGTATAACATTTATTTGAATAGTCTGGCATAATTCGTATGTTCAAAACTTAAATATATTTTTGCATATATATGTTTGTACAGTTCTCTCTATAATCTAATTCACATACAAATTAATTATATGCATTGTATCTGTAGGTAGGTGATAAAATACCATCAGTTGATCTTTTTGAAGATACACCTGTAAATAAAGTAAATCTCGCAAATATTGCAGCTGGTAAAAAATTGGTAGTTTTTGCAGTACCAGGAGCATTTACACCAGGATGTTCAAAGGTGTATATTATTTTTAAACATTTATTTTCTTAATCATAGAAAAGTTTCTGATTACTTATTGCATCATAAAATATAGTTTTTAATACATTCTTTTGTATATTACATTATAAGTAAGCAAATGGATACATTGTTTTCTTAGTGATTATTTATAAAATATATCTTATCATTCATTACTTGTAACTATTTTTGTCATTTTTGTATATTATTTGTAATCTTGTAACTAAAAATTCTTGAAAGTATAGATTTAATTTGAACATGAAATATTAAAGTCGCATCAGATTATGTACATATACTCTAATATTTTTAATATTTTACATAAGTTTAATAATATTTTAGACTCATCTACCTGGTTACATTCAAAAAGCCAGCGAAATAAAATCTAAAGGATTTGACGAAATTGTTTGTGTTTCTGTAAATGATCCATTTGTAATGGCAGCGTGGGGTAAAGAGCAAGGAGCAGATGGAAAAGTAATGTTGTTTATATATTATACACAAATTTCATGTACTTAGTTTAATAAATAATTAGTGTGTAAAGCATTGTACTCACTTTTATCTCTTTTTATATAGATACGCATGTTGGCGGATCCTGCAGCTGCATTTACAGATGCATTAGGATTGTCTATGGACTTGGCTGTACTTGGTGGAAAAAGAAGTAAACGTTATTCAATGGTCCTTGTAGATGGAGTAGTGAAGGAATTAAATGTAGAACCAGATGGTACTGGACTTTCTTGTTCTTTAGCAGATCATATTAAAGGATGAAGTGCATATCTTTGAATACTGATAGTCTTTTTACCATTCAAATGATTATAGTTTGCACACATGTTTAATGAACAACTATTTGTGTCATTTACTATATTTAATGTTTTTCCTATGTTTTTAGAGCAAATTACTTGAAATAAGCAACTGTTATTTTCAATCGTAAAAATAAAGTTCATAAAAACTAAACTTTGAATTATGAGTATAATTTACTGAATTCAAGATAATATAATTAAAATATTTTCAATTTATTTCATGTTTGATTAAATAATAGATAGTTCTTTCCTTTTTATGGTGAAATTACTTTATATAACTAGTTAACAATACAAAAGCTCTTATTTTTTATCAGTGAATTATGTAATATTTATAATGTGCATTACAATTTATTTTCCATAAGAAGTTTGAATACTTTTACTCAATCGTGTATTTTATCATTTTTGCACAATATAAATATATTGTAAAATTTCTTTAGTCGAATATGAATAATAAATCTGCACCAAAGATATATATAAATATTTTTATTTCTACCTTATAATATCATGGATTGATATATACTTTTTTACATTCCATTTGAAAAGAAAATCCAAATATTTCTGTTATTATCAAAGTTAGAAAAAAATGACATAGATAATGTTGAAATTTAGCAACTCAGCTATTTTTCAAATCAAGAGACATAAACCTTTTTAAATTTGCATAATTCAGAAATTTTAAATCCGTAGGTGGGATTGCCAATTGTCAAATTCCAAATATCTCATAGGTCGTAATTACAACGTAACCTCAATCTAATACTACACTACCCATGAAATTATTAATTCAATTAATATAGTTGATTTTATTAGCTTAATTGACTATAATACAAGTCAAATTACATCGGAGTGCAAAACCAATTAACGCCGAATTGTTTTGACTTTACGAAACTATTATCAATTTTTGATAATCGTTGCTGAACGGTTTCTATAGCGACCAGTGTCGGCAACCAAACTGCATCAACGCGCCACCTAGTCGTAGTTAGTTTAAGTCTAAGTATATACTGTATCTCGTCGATGATACACGGAATGATATAAAAATGGCAAAGAATTTTCTTTCGAGTTATCTCACAGATAATTTCTTTTGTAAACAAAGATCTTATTTGCAAAATTTGCCTGAGTTCTGAAGTTTCGCCAAAATTAGTATTAGATGAATTCAGTTAAAAAAGGTACATATAGCACCATCTAGCAACACTGAAAAAATAATATTTGAATCCTTGAGTCTACTAAAAAGCTATTTTCCTGACTTCATTGTGTCCATAAAACAGTTTGCGAGTGTCAACAAAATGAAATACTGTTTTATTTTATAAAAAATTATAATTTTCTGTTTGCTAGTTCGGCAGTTGGTCCCTGGATGACGCCAGATGAATTGTTCCTTATAATGTGCGCGTGAAAATGTAAATTTTAAAATACATACAAAAATAATGATTCTGAAATGCTTTAAACTTTTTAAATTAATTACTTTACAATACATAATTCACTTGTGTATCTTCTTTATGTATCAAATTATGACGGTATTTTCATAATGAACGTGAACTTGAACGTAATAATAAGAAAACTTTCATAAATTTTGCTGCAGCCCTAAAGTAATAATGCTGATGCAGTCCCTACAATCACTATTCTGTAACGTATAAAATACAGTAAAGTTATTTTCTTTCAAATATAAGAATTTTCTTCCGAAAATTGTGCTAATTATCGACTTTTATGGCATCTAGTAACTCTTGGACGCCATTTTCCCTAGTGAAATCAGATTTCCATTTGAGTGTACCGTTCTTCCGTGAAATTTTCTATATGTATGTACACATAAGCAATGCAATGTATTGTTTGCGATAAAAACTTTATGGCGCCAATTATGCTACTGTGCTATTATATGTGAATGTTATTTAATAATTTCAAGAATGCCGGCTTTTTTGAAACATATCGAAGTAGAAAACTTTAAATCGTACAAAGGGAAACTTATTATAGGACCGTTAAAATCGTTTACTGCTGTTGTCGGACCAAATGGATCTGGTAGGTTATGTTTTCTTGTGGCAGCAAAACAACTTCAAAATTAATTTTAAATTTCTTAAATATCACGTATGTTTCTTTATTATAGGAAAATCTAATTTTATGGACGCGATTAGTTTTGTTATGGGAGAAAAAACAAGTAGTCTCCGCGTTAAACGATTTAGTGAACTAATTCATGGAGCGTCAATAGGAATGCCAGTTGCACGGAGGTATTTTTAATTTATTATACAAATATATATTTTTTATTTTGTTAGGAACATTGTTAAAAATATTTTCAACCATGTTTTTATATTTTATTAGTATTTTAGATGTAACATTTTATGTATATTTATTACATATTAGCTTTCTCAAGAATTTGACAATCATATTGTAAGGAATTTATTTAATCAATGATAAATAATAGTTTTGACATTATGCCTAAAAGTATGTGAAATTGAAAAAATTTAAATATTAAAAGATTAATAGATTAGATATGTTCAAAATAAAATTATTTACACAAACTTTGAAGACAAAATAACCATGACAGTCGAAGTTTTATATTACCGTTTATTGAATTTGACTTTTCTACTAATTTTCTTCATTCTAGTATTAAATTTGCTATATTTATGATTGAAATTAAATTTAGATATGTTTAAAGTGATATTTAAACTTTAAACTAATAATGTATTTATATAAGTTGTTAATAAATATAAATTCAACCTATTTGGAAGTTGCGTTATACATCGTTAGGATATATTGGTGTTTACTTTTTTTTTATTTCTAATATGTATAACACATTATGGATATTAATGTTCTTACGTTTGAGGCTAATCATTAAATGTAATATTCTTCATTATTATAAATATATAAAAGACAAAAATAGTAGTACAGTAATAATTCCATGATGTATTAAATATAGTGTAATGTGATAAAATTATGATTTATAATATACAGAACATATCACGTAAAGTGTTATAGTTATGTTATGCATAATTATTGAAGGTAGTAGTATCTTTCTTCCAATTTTTTATAGCTTACTAAAAATGACTTACATGATAGGTAAATAGGATTATATCATTTTAAAACTAGCAAACAAGAATAATTTCTGCCTTTTTTTAAATGTAACGATACATAAATTCTTGTATTTTGATTGGTCTTGACCAACTTGATACTGTTACCGATACTTATTAAGTATCATGGTAGTATATGTTATTTTTAAATTTTTGATAATATGTAACAGTAATAAAAAATTATTGTACATTACAGTGCATCTGTAACGGCTGTATTTGAATTAGAAGATGGCTCTGAAAAAAGCTTTATGCGTTCTGTACAAGGATCTTCGTCAGAACACAGAATAAACAATAATGTGAGTTTGATATATTTTTAAATAAAAGCTTACTTATATGTTTAAAAAAAAAAGATTTTATGTAATTTCCTGAAACATAGGTTGTTACGAGTCAAGTATATCTTAATGAGTTAGAACATCTTGGTATTAATGTGAAAGCAAAAAATTTTCTAGTATTTCAAGGAGCTGTTGAATCGATAGCTATGAAAAATCCAAAGGAACGTACTGCACTTTTTGAAGAAATTAGTAATTCCGGTGCACTAAAGGCTGAATATGAAAGGTGACTCTTTTATGTAATACTTCATACAGATTTTATTTCCTATTAAGAACATTATATGACATTAAAATAGAAGTGTCTAATGCAGTACATATACATATATTGTTTATACACTATAAAAATTAAATAACATTAAAGAATAAAAGATTAATACAAATTACATTTGGTTGCAAATATACATTAACTATTTAAATTTATGTATGTATTTAATTTAGTTATTTATAATATAAAGTAATAAAAATTAGTAGCTGTTTAAAATGAAAGTTCATTTTGCACTTCAAATTGTACTAAATTGATATTGTGTATTATTCATTTATATGTACATACATATATGTACATGTGCAATATGTAATACTTCATAGGTTGAGAGCAGAAATGTTAAAAGCAGAAGAAGAAACTCAATTTTCTTATCAAAAAAAGAAAGGAATTGCTGCAGAAAGAAAAGAAGCAAAATTAGAAAAAGAGGAAGCTGAAAAATACCAACGTTTAAAAGAAGAATATGTAATGAATGAAATATTTTATATATATTCAAATATTCTAAAAACTAATTCGAATAAACAATGTCATTTAACAGGTATTTAAATATTATATATATTTTCTGATTATATGTTTTTACAGGTAGAGAAACAAGTTGAACTGCAATTATTTCGTTTATTCCATAATGAAAAAAATACAGAAAATTTGGAAGTTTCACAAAAGAAGAAACAACATGAGATTGAAAAAATTGAAAAGAAAAAAGAAAAAGCGGAAGAATTATTGAAAGAGAAAAAGAAGGAAGCAGGAAAATTAGGAAGAGACCTTGCTAAGATAGAGCAGGACATTAGAGAGGTGGAAGTTGAAATAACTAAGAAAAGACCAACATTTATTAAGGCAAAAGAACGCGTCGCGCACATGCAGAAAAAGGTGGAATCTGCACGTAAATCATTAGCTCAAGCACGTATCGCAGATGAAGCTCATAAGAAAGATATACATGAACTTCAAGAGGAACTACGTCAAGTAGAGGAAGCTAAAGCAGCTTATGAAGCAAGTATTGCTGGTCAATCTCAATCACAAGGAAGGGATGTACAACTTGAAGATGAGCAGGTACTTATATTTATATTTATTTTACATTTATCAACTGTTTGCACATTCTTTATTCAACATACGTTACTGTATTTTTCAGAATAATACAACTGTACAATATACTATAATAATTATACATAATCTTTCATTGGTTGTATTATTCATTTAAGGTTAGAGAGTACAATCGTTTGAAAGAAGAAGCTGGAAAACAATCAGCAAGATATCTTCAACTTCTTGATTCTATTAATCGTGAGCAAAAGTCAGATCAAGATAGACTTGATAATGAAGGAAGGAAAAAAACAGAAATAGAAAATAAACACAAACAAAAAGGTCACATGCGAGATGAAGCACTTAAAAGGGTGGAAAAATTAGAAGAACATATAAGGACATCCGAAGCTGCTTTAGAAGATCAGAAAAAATTACGAGCTGACTTACAGTCTGATGTTGGTACATCAAAAGATAAAATACAAAATCTACAAC